CCTCGGTGTGAAAAGTTCATAAATCCTGGCGAGTACATGTTGTCATGGTAATGCAATGCTGGGTTTGTAGACGAAGTGTTACATCCTGTTCCGTACCTACTGCTGCTGTCGCCTGACCATCCGTTCACTGCAGTTGGTGTGCTTCCAATAATACCCTGGTCCATATTGTTAACACGACCGTTGAATGAGTACTGGGGTAGAAATGAGACATCATAATTAATTATTGATACATTGGAAATGCAGAGAACAAAGAACAGTCCAGATTTACTACACATTAAAGCGAGGGAGTCGTCACCAGCGCATGCCTCAGATGGCCATAGCGTGTCATTGTTTACAAACAAGCGTCTACCCATGAGCCTTTGCATTTTTAGCGTGTGTTGTTATCATCGCTTAGGACTCAATTCCCGTGCAGGTGACGACCCTCTCGCTTTAAATTGTATAGTAGGTCTTTTGTGTAATCTAATTATACACATTATACATGGCATTAGGGTCATGTGTTATTTTATTGCTACCCATCACCCAGTAAACACATTTGAGTCTATTGCATCCCCAGTGTGCAGCGGCACAAAGCACAATCAAAATGTGCGGTACAAACAATTTAGCACTTGTATATAGTGCGTTTTTTGAGAAGACATCGCTGCCGCCACCACCAGCGCCACTATACGTACAGAGAGATAAAACATTTCGATGCTTGACTTGGACTAAGATACTCAATAACTATTATAACACAATCATTTAGTCTTTACCTGAGTGACAGACGATGAGTAATGTCCATATCTGTATGCATTACTGTCATGTGGAGATTGGGAATACTGATTACTCATGCCATGGCTCGGATAACCACTCGGATAATGGAAACTGTAGAAGAAAATTATTATTATTATTAATCCTTTATTTTTAACAAACATCAACACTAATAAATACAACGTCTAAGATTAGTCCAAAACTTGGTTAAGAAAAAATTGTCAGAATTGACACAAGTATGAATTAAAGCATTATCTCTCGTAAGTACCGTAGGCACTGACTGAAGTTATAGAATTCCTTGCGCTGAACAGATTCAAAGTTTAAAATATTTCTATTCAGAATAAGCATGGTGGAATTCAGTGAGAAAAAATTGGTGTTACGAATTGAAAAACGACAATGTGATGAAATGGACATAACATGAGATAATTGTGCAAATTAGTTATATATATTGAATACTATAAAATACTTTATTTTTACCTATTTTTGCTGAAAGAATGATTCAGTTAAAATAAAATCCAGCAAATATACTTTTTTTCCTATATTTTACATTCAACTCGTCAAAAATCAGTGAAAATAAATTCCATTCAAAACACCCAAAATGTTTTTTCAGCAAAAATTAATTCCAGCTGAGGTATTTTACAGTACATAGCATGTGGGGATACAACAACAATAAGCATAAATCTCTTACAATTAGTTATAGTCGAAAATATGTTTACGTTTCATGCAATGATGATTCATGGGAAAATTATGCAAATTTTTCTATGAATTCAGTGAATATGAGACACTTACCCAACAGATGGATTAACCTCCTCGGCTGGTGTTGAATACAGGGAGACCATGTGGTTATTAGTCATGTTGAGATGGCCTGCTGATGAGGTAGATCGGGATGAAGACATGTTGTCATGGGAACTAGGGGTTGTTGATGCCAGGGGGTTATATGAATGAGGACTCTGGTATGATGCATTGGAGTCTAGAAAACAAATGAAGAATGTATGTGAGATGCAATATGAATCCGGGTTCAGGTGGGAGGAAAATGAAAAGCTCTGATTCTCTCCATCAAGTACAATACCGTATTTGCTCTATTAGAAGTACATCTCCAATGAATGTGATCTAAAAACAGTTTGTTGTTTCATTCATACTACCTTTCAACAAGTCATTTACATTTACGCTTTGAGTGCCATATTTTTTTGCCAAAATTCTTTTTTTTTCTCGCTTTTCTATAATTTATTTTGATAATTTTGAACCAAATGGTTGTAACACCTTATTTTCTATTAGTGTTGATCAACATTTTTGAAAACATAAGAGGAAATTAAGCAGTTCGTATGTGTAGCAAAGTAACACAGTTATTGATTAAAAATGTCATTATCATCTGTGCACATTGTCAACATTTGATCTGTTTCACACACCAAAGAATATTCTAATTTTAGTAAAATTTAATAATTGTGACAAATGCTATTTTCAAAAACGACAACCACTTAAAAACACTAGCAAAATTATTGCTCATTTGTGGATACCTCATAAATATTGTGAAAAGATTTACCTGTTGGGGATGTTGCTGATAAAGCTGAAGCGTTGTTTCTTAAACTATTATCTCCAGTTGAAATAGACACTGGCGTGAATATGGGGTTCGGTAAAATGATATCGTCACCAGTATCTGAAAGATTAGAATATATGATCAATTACATTAACTCACCAAATGTGAATACAAATACAAAATTACTTCCAAGTAACCAAATGGGATCTAAATGCACTGCTTTGTCACAAACTCTGATCCAGAAGGATAACCAGAATATAACATGAAGAAATAAATAAAATACAATGCTCACTATTACTATTGCTAATC